TTGAGTAATCAATAAAAAAAGAATAGTAGTGGCAAATCGTTCGATTTTGATCGCCAACTACACGCTACCAAAATGTGATATCACATGTCCGTGAAATATCAGGTTTTTAAGTTCAAAAACTCAAAACAAACCAAGCTATATGACTTATGTTATCGATGGTAAATGAGGCTGCAAGTATACTAAAATATTCTTTCTAAGAATTTTGTTATCAATTGTTTCAATAGCTATTTTGGGTTGAATAATAACTAATTAACTATATTACTTACTTACTTATGTGGCCATGACAACCCGTTACCGAGTTTCGGCCTGACGCAGCTTGTCTCCCCAGGCACCTCTGCTGAGTGCGCACCTTCTCCAGTCTCGTATATCAGTCTCAGTATATAACTCCACCGAAGACACGATCTACCTCTACGCCTTCTTCCGCCAACTACTGCTTCAAACACCTTTTTCGCCGGAGCGTCTTCATCCATTCTCACGACTGACCGACCCACCAAATACTTTTTCTTTTCCAAAGCCATTTGCATATAACCTTATTCTTTGTGATTTTACCGTGTTGTACATAGAGTACCTGAAAAGGCAGCACTATCGTAAGAAAATGAGCATTTGAAACAACAAAAATTTGCCATTATTGTGGAATAACTGTTGTAATCTCTGTATTTTTGTTAGAACAGCAACAGATTTATTAATCGGCGGGAAAGACTTATTGCCCATTATAACTTATAGAACAATACAAATCGTCTAAGGTGCTCTTTTTCATTAAAATAACCACTGATTAGTTGAAACAAATTGGATTTGCACAATAGATAACCTAAGTTGCTGTTTATAGACTTCACCACATATAATAATAATTTTTTATGATTCACTATATATAATCAGATATAAAAAATTTTGATCTGATTGATTACTCGATAACTTAGTGAAGTGATAAAATTTTTTTTTTTGTGTGTTATTCCAGAATTACCGAAAATTAAAAAGGGGTATAAAGATACTACTAATTTTTCCACTATATCACTTTACCGAAGTACCGAGCCACATCTTAATCTTCAATATACTTTAAAACTGACTCGGCTTTGTTTTGTGGAGCTGTGCAAGAATATGCTGTATAGCTCTAATCACAGAATATTACTGCGGTACAAAAATCGCGATAAACCCAATATAATATTTTCACACTATGTGTGTAGAGTATTAAGAAGTAAAACTTCGTTAATTTCGTCGCAAATTTTTTGCATTTGTATATAATTGTTAATGCTTTAAATACAATAATTTTATATCAAAAACGTAAATCTAAACACCTGCTACCAACTTACGAGCAATGAGCAAATCCCTCTCGATATTTGCGAAATTTTTAATGTCTGACTTACGCGTATCTACTGGCCCGAGCAAGATTCACACAATTAAATAAACAAAAAATAATAAATCTTCTTATTTTCAAGTTATGTAAATAATTCACATACTTCTCAAACAACTTCAAGAAAATTAATGGAAGTATTACTAAAAGATTAAAGGTCATCGTTAATACATGTTTTTCTAACTTAAGCCAAAAAAAAAAAAAAATGTAATCATTTTTTTTATTATTAAAGTTAATTACATACAAAAGTATAGTTGTGAGTTTGCAATTAAAGTCTCATTTGTTACATCACAGTTAGTCACTACTAAGATAAAATTAAATTTAATTAAAGTGTTTGTTGTTGACTTAATTTAATTATATTTCAATAAAACCGAGTGAATCATGTTTAATGTAGTTAATGACGTCAATTCCTTGAGAAGCTTATGAAACTTATATATCTTAATTAAAAATTCAAACTGAATCTTATAGTACAATATAGAGAGATTTAATAAAATGAATTATATTATTTATAATAATCTATGCAATATATAGATTATTTCTAACCTATTCCAGCATATACTATATTCTATTAATTTTTTATCTATAACTAAAGCCACACTACGATAAGTTTATTTACATTTTATATAAAGCAACTTTTACTCTATTTTAATTATTCATTATATATGTATATATTTAAATTTATATAAATAACAATTAATATTAATTGTAAATCTATTTATTCACAAAACTAAGCATATTGATCAATATCTTCAAGTTAACATGTCATATACAAAACGACTTATTTTTATTATTATTCTTAAGATCTTATTAGTTCAATGAAGTTATTTCTATATTGTTTTAACTTCTTAGTAATTATTTTAAAAAATATAATTACATTATAACATATTCCAGAGTTACCGAAAATTTAAAAGGGGTGTCAAAATCAGAAACTATAACAGAAAAATAGTAAAGAAAGTATAACTATTGTTAATTTTTTTTGTCGAAAGTGACGCTTCTTATGACGTAAAGAAACTACTAAAAAATTAGAAGGTTTCAAATAGAAATGAAAAGACTGCTACAAAAATTTTAGTTAATTCATTAAACTTTGGCTGACCATACAACGCTGTTTCGAGTATTGCTAAGTAGTACTTATCATCAATCCTCTTAGGGAATATTTGAATTTTTTTACTTAATTTATAGTCCGTACATAATTTGTATATAAGTTCTATGCCTGACACTTGCAGTCCAAACAACCATTTTTAAAAAAAAAGATTCCAATGTAGTCTATCTATAAAATAATTAGTGATATACCTACTACTTTCTCGT